TATTTATAGTCCCCAACGCTGGGCCAAGGTCTTCAACGTTGAACCACGATGAGGCCCAACAACGAAGACTGCTAGGACTTACGTGTGTATGGAGTCCAGCACGTGGTCTCCTCCCTGGTCAACTACTCCGAGAAAACAAGTGTTGGACCCGTGATTTCCGGAGGGCAGTATGATGATGATATGGACACGTGGGTAACGTCTTTCTATCGGACACGTGCGAAAATGCCCAACAGTCTCCAGCTTGGACAACATGCCTTTGGACCTTGGACAGCACACTGAATTAGGCCTCCCCAACAGTAGGACAAGTGTTGGCCCAATCCAAAACAATAATATATTTTTAATTTTTAAATATTACAATCGTATAGATTGTAATTGAAAAGTTTATACAAATCTTTTAAAACTCTTCTCGAATATAATTTTTGAGTTGTTTTAAATTAGAGGTTTTTTGAAAAATATAAATTTTTATTGTATTTTTATGATATGAATCAAATATGTCAATGTGAATGTTAGGTTGTTTTCCAAAAAAACAATATGTGGTACAAACTCCACTACAATGTCAAATAACGGCGATCGTATTGTTATTTGAATATATTGAAAAATAAGTAAGAATTCTCGCTTTTTTTTAAACGTGTGTTAATAAAGATGTTCACAAGAATAAGATTTATTTTAAAATACAGAATGTATACTCGTTTACAAGAAAGATTCATGGAAATAATCGATTATGTATATCACATTATCGAATATGTAAAAATTTTAAGTTTCATCATCGCTTATAGGTTATAAATCCTAATACGAATATAAAGTGTTACAAAAGAGATAAACGATTAATTCTAAAGTGTTAATCGGTTATTTAATATAAATTACACTCGTAAATGATTATTTGAGCTAGAAACGAAGTAAAATATTTTTTTGAGATTTTAACAAAAATAAGAGAGTCCTCAAAAGCATTTGATGAGTGTGCGTGGGAGTTTTGTTAGTAATTTATGAAAGACTCTTAACACTTATAATATTCATATCACTCAAACAATGTGTTAAGCGTGCAATCGATCATACCAGCTCTCACAACATTAAAGCATTATATTTTTTGCTACATTATTTTTAATTTTAACACTTAGCTGAAACTTAAATCTTCTCTATGATGAAGTTTAAGATAACTTCAGGATTAATATTATCATCATATAGTAGAAAAGATATCATTAGGGACTAACACGCTCAATCAAAGCATTAAACAAAATTTCATCAAATATCGGAGTCATCATCAAAACCTACTACAAGCACATAAAAATATTAGAGAATATACTATATTCTTTTTGAGAGTATATTTCTTCCCATTTGATATTATCAAAAGGACAGAAAAATAAACACAAACAAACACATAGACCATGTACATCAAATATAGAGAGGGAAGAAGAAGAAGAAAGAGATGAGGCATTTAGCATATATTTATCTATGCATGATTGATTTAATATTCCTAACTCAGTTCTTATGAAAGAGATATTTTCTTCAAGGAGAGGTTTGGTAAAAATATTTGTGAGTTGATTATATGAAGACAAATTCTTAATTATGCAATTTTCTTTCCAACATGATTGATCTCTTACGAAATGATGTCTAACATTAATATTTGAGAGTGAAGTGTCTGATTTTTCATGAAGTTTATGGCGCTAGTATTGTAGCATTTGATCGGGATAGCAAGAAGGTTAACTCAATAATCACTCAACTAGTGTTTCATCCAGATAATTTGCGTGCACCAACTATCTGCAACAACGCATTCTGGTTCAGTTATGGATAACACTACATTTACTTATTTCTTTTTATGTCAAGAGATAAGTGAGTTACCAAGTAAGTGACGTGTATCATTGGTACTATTCTGATCTAATTTGCACCTAGTAAAATTAGAGTCAAAGTACCCAACTAAAACACAATTCATCCCTTTCGGGTACCATAAACTCATATGTAGTATATCAATGAGATATCTCATAGTGTGTTTTACTGCAGAGAGATGTGATTCTTTCGGGAATACTTGAAAGTGAGCAGAGACATACAACAAACATAACATCAGGACGAGATGCAGTAAGATAATGGAGAGACTCAATCATACCTCTCCACTTGCTTTCTTCAAGTGACTTTCTTCCTTCATCCCTATCTAAATTGCATGATGTAGCCGTTAGAGTATTGATTTCATTTGACTTCTCCATACAAATTTCTTTAGGAGTTTCTTGTAGTACTTGACTTGACTTGTGAATGTCCTTTCTTTTTATTTGTGAAATTGTAGTTTTAGAATGTAACGAAGCTCCCCATCATAGATATCTCAAACTCATTCTGCATCATATTAGAGAAATTTTTGCATAAGGATTCATTAATAACATCGAATATAATGCCTACATAAATCTAAATAAGTAAAATGTTATGCTCGGACTTTTTAACAAAAAAGAGTTTTTTCAACTTATCCTCTCTAAAACTTGTTCTCAAACAAAAAAAATTCTTAGACAATCGTACCATGTTCTTGGAGTTTGTTTTAAATCTTATAAACTTTTTTAAACTTGATATGATCAAAAAATGTTAAATCTATAAAATTCAGATATTGATCAACAAACAATTCCTCTTAGATGTAACTATGCAAGAACACACTCTTTACATTAATTTCTAGAAGAGTTTAAAATTCATGATAGTTATAGACGAACATGAAATAAATCTCTCCTTGCATGAAAATTCATGATTAATAACCACTAAAAACCAACAATCGAAAAACTTTCAAAAAATTTGAATTCCCTCACTTGACTACTTGATAGTAGTTTTCCATTTTTATATTTAATTTGACATGCATATTCAAACAGAATGTATCATTTGATTTTAAAAAATCAAAGTTAACATACCAAGACTTCTTTGCGGAAATGTAAGCAAATTTAGCATATTAAGATTCTCTGCTGCAGTGCAGCAACATACAGATTGCACTTGAACTAATGTAGACAAACTTTTAAAACGTACTCCCTCCGTTCTTTTTTAAGTGTCGTTTTAGAAGAATTTTTTTGTTTCTATTTAAGTGTCGTTTTTATAGTTTAATGTTATCATTTGTCAATTATATCCCTACTTTCCCAATAATTTCACTTCACATTTTCCATAAAATTAATTATTTTCTCAATTAGTTATTGGAAAAAGAGAGATGGTATATGATTGAATTTATTTGGAAAGAGAAAATAAATGAGGATATAATAGGAAAAATAACTCTAATAATCCACTATCTTGGTTGAAGAGTTTTATGCTAAAATGACACTTAAAAAGAAATGGAGGGAGTATATATTAACATTCTAAATACATAAAGTAGTATCCAAAAATATAAAATTATATTCTAATTCAACTAAAAAAACTTAAAGGACCAAATTTTTACAAAAAAAACTTAAAGGATCAATCTATTACAATAAAATAATTTAAAAGACCCCTGAAATAATTATGCCAATAATTTATGAATGCACAGCAATGTAGTCAATCATGGATGAGAGAGCAATAGCAGCAGACTCCAAAAATACTAAACCGATAAAGTGGGTAGGTAGCGATATGACTGCTTTCTCGAAGTTTAAGGAAACAATACAAAAAATTTATATCATACAAAAAATTTATTCTAAGTGTCTTTTAACTTAATTATGTTGTATATAACTCAGTGGGTGGTAAACTAACTATTTTATTGTGTATTATAAAAGTGATACGATGGTATATGTACTAGATAGCTGAAATAATCTTTTTCAGATTCAATACCCATCTCTATTACTCGTTATAACCCCTTTGTTCTCTCTGATTTTGTGAGTGATCTAAATGCCTCTCCCTATTTTCTCTATGATTTTGTGAGTGATATTGATGCTTCTAAGTGCGTGTTGTAACAAATTATGTTATTCTTGAAGATAACTACTTAGTTTTTAAGGCCCAACAAGAGAAAACAGAACATTTGGAACATAACATCCCTATCTTGTGTTTATGAGCTTAATTGTTTTCTTCAAAAGGGTGCTTAAGGTGAGGTTAGAAATAGAGTTATGGTTTGGCAAGAAAATGGGAAATTTTGTTGATGTCTTCCACAAGGTCTTTCTCTCTCGGTATCTTTTACATTCCTTTTATTTTTTCTCAATTAATTCCAACTTGTATGAAGCAGTGCTCATTTCCATTTTCCTTATAGTTGACATTATCCAAACCCATTGTAAGAGAATACTTCAGTTAACTTAGTTCAATACAAGCATACAGGTTGTTATATCTTCTTAAATTCTGAACCGGATCATATCAAATCGGTACCTGAGCTACAATGCTAGAAGCATCTGTAGCCAAAAATGGAGGAAAATAGACAAACGGTTGATTCCATGTTGCAATGGTTGACAACTCTTCTGGCACAACAAAATCAGTAGTAGTGACGAGGAGAATACAAAGGAGGCAACATAGGGATGACGATCGAAGGAAGAAAATTAGGACAGAGAGACGTGTTGTATTTGATGGGTGAAAATCCACATGGCTGATATGTATTTACATAAAAATTAGAAATTGACTAAAACAAATGGAACAAATTACAGAGTGTGGATACAAAGAAGCACGAATACTCAACACTTTGTTACATTTCATAATTATATTTTTCTTCAATTTTTGGAGCTTTGTATACTAGTATAGATGCGAAAAGTGTAGTACATTCATTCATCTAATAACTAGTAGTAATAAAATAAACGATAGCATTTCATTATGTCTATAATGACTCATGCTAACTTTTACTATACTTTTTTCCCTCTTTTAATATACAATCAATTGTATCAATTGCAAGGCTCGAAGACATGTCATATTATATCTGATTACCAATGTTTCTAGCAGCCAACATTCCCCAAAAAAAGGCCCAACTACGTATTGCATCGAAAAACAACAGCACAAAGTAAAACACCAAATCTATAATTTTGAAGATGTAAAGTAATAACATGAAAGCATCAATAGCGGGGATAACCAACCTGCATACTAGTTGAGAAACGGATGAATCTTCACTAAACAGTATTCTTCGTAAATGACCTTTCTCTGCTTTTAGACAGTCTTGATCGTTGCGGTGAACTCCTAACATCTTTATATTCACCTCGTGTTTGTATTCTTTTAGAACCTTTTGATGGATTTTTCTCCCAGGTTTTTCGTGAAATCTTCCCACCTGGTCTCTCTCTAACAGAATCTCTCGAAGGTTTCTTATCACCTAACTTCATTTCCACAAAATTTCGTCCCCTTCTGTTGGCAGAAGATCTACGATTACCCCTCGAAGACTCCTCTTCGTCATCATCAACGACAGTTTCACTAGCATCCTCAGCTTCAGAATCAGACAACTCGGAACTCCCTTCTTCTTCTTGCTCCTCCTCACGATTCTCATCACTGCCACGCTTTTCCTCACCTTCCTTTCCTTCACAGTCTTTGACATTACCCTCTTTTGCGCTGCTTTTTCCTTTCACATCCTTTTGTTTTTTGCTATCTTCCTTAACAGTGTTCATGAGGTGAATATACTTTCTCCTAAACTCCATGGCCTGATTATCTTCAACGAGCAAACCCCTCTTGTAACCCTCCCTAAGAACAACAGTGTAGGTTCTATTCTTAGAAGACAAATAAAATATCCCCGGATGCTGCAAAACAGCTCTCTTAAATCTCGACGCTAAACCCAACCACTCACCGAGCACCAATACATTATCTTTATCAGTTTTCTTAGAAACCAATAGGTGAAGAATCTCATGCAAAACACCAACAACCCATCTATCAGATTCATCACTGGAAGCCGGAAAATGACCAGCATTTTCTTACGACACATAAGGCAATTTATTCCATTCTCTTAACCATTTCTCATACTTGTTATCCATCTTAAAACCAGTCGAAAACTGCATCGGAAAAGCCAATATTTTCCCTTTACTACCCATTTTTTTCTCCAACAAAGAAACAGCAAGTTCCTTGCTCCAACAAACCAGCTCCAAAACAGCATCCCCGCCCGTTCCAATTACCCGAAAGTAATCCGGAAATTCAAGAATCATGGATTTGGCGTAATCCTGAGGAAGCCCAAGGTCCCACCTCAAACCTTCAATGACTCTCAATGGAATCTTATGTATCTTTGAGATCATCAAAAGCTTCAAAAGCCTATCAGCAACTTGTTGCTTAAACATTTGGCTGTTATACATAAACCCTTCCTCAGCGTCGAGTTCTACGGCTTCGGGAGTGAGTCTAACATGAGGTTCAAATCCACCACCGAGGTTGAACTCTTGGAATACGGAAGGGTACTTCCGGACGAAATCTATGGGACGGAAAGGAAGCTGGATGGATTATCTGATTAACGAAACGGGAAGAGACTTTGAAGGCTCGTGTTTGATTAGGTTTCGGAGATTTAGCAACGGTTTGAGATTCTTCTCTCGTTCGACGGCGTGGTCAAGGCCGCGGTCTCGGACTAGGGTGAAATCCCCATCGAAGAGGGTTCGGAGGTGTTGACGGTGGGGAGGAGGAGGAAAGGCGGTGGTGTGGCGGGGGATGAAGACGGTGAAACGCATTGCTCCTCTGTCTTCTTTCGATGGTGAATGTGGCCGGCCAGATGCGACGGGGAGGTTTAGAGTGTGTAGTGAATTTAGGGTTTAAGAAGTTCTGTCATATTTTTTTCTGTTCATAAAATTATTGGCTAAAATAATTTCGTTTCTAATTTTCAATTCAATTTTAATTTTAATTTTTCAACACTACCTCTAGTTTATTATTTACTTATTATGTGTTATCATAATTTGAATAATTTGGATTTATTACAGGGTCTACTTACATCACCTCACACTTTTGCTTAAACGCATAGCATACACATCATAACATCATTGCTTAAACATTTCCTTAACCATTTCAAGGATCTCAAGGGTTTGTGATGCAGGTTATGGTAAATCATACGTCTAGCAAGGGGCAAAGGAGATTTATTTTCCTCTAGCCAATGTCGTCTAGAGATCAAAACACGATGACTTGATTCGGTGGCTATGACCCACTTGATATGGCGAGCTCGACTCTTGAAGAAGGACTCTTGATGACACGAAGTTTCTTCAATCAAAGCTGCAAAATTCAAATTCTAACAGTTTCTTGTTTACCCCGCGAGATCCTTAAAAACATTGCATACATATCATACATATCATTGCATAACAGGTCTTCTAGTACAGGTCTCTCATGTTCTCGCTGTTTATTTCAGCAATGGCTCTCAAACAAGACAACAGAGATCTTCAAACCCAAGAAGCTCAGTTCAGGGAAATATTCCTAAACCTATCCAAGGGGTAGGAAGAGTTGAAAACACTCCTCGTTGGGAATTTGGTCAAGAAAAGTCCTGAAGACAATAAGGACGAACGACTGAAACATCTGCAAGCTGAGGTAGATGCAATGAGAACCCAAATGTTGGGGAAGATGGCTCTTATCCAAGGCCTAGCCCGGGAACAAGAAGAGTTGAGAACTATTATCAATCAGCTTCATCAAGACAGATACAACAGTATGAAGCAAACAGTCGGGGCCGGGGGCCAAGTCACTGATCAGCTTTCAAGAAAACCAGGGTTAGGTTTGGTGAAGAATGGACCTCTCCAAGTTGCTACTACCTCACAGGTCCAACAACAACCTTGCCAAAAACAACGGGTTAATCAGAGTAAGCTGGATACACCCAAGAGACAGTTTACCAAGCTCAACATGCCGCTGTCTCAAGCTTTACAACACCTGTTGAGGATGAATCTGGTGACGTTGAGAGGACCTCATCCGAATCCCAAGACTTCTTCACCTAACTACCATCCCGATGCAAGGTGTGCATATCACTCCAACAGCCCGGGGCACGATACTAACAGTTGTTGGGCGCTGAGAAACAAAACTCAAGACCTGATTGATGAAGGAGCATTGGAACTCACACAAGACGGTCAGATTGAGTTCTTCTGCCATCCCTCCAAGGCTCACCATTTAAAGTGACAAGTTCTGACAAGAGAAGACTTTTTGTTCATTAGAATTTTCAATTTGTAATTTTATTTTGATGGTTCAAACATTTAATCATGTCAAACTTTGTTACTTTATCAATGCATTGCATATGTCTATTTTGAATCAATTCATTCGTATTCAATATTTGCGTTCTTATTTCCTTTTGTGATGTTTAACTCTCGATTAAAAACTCTAAGCCTTAGAGGGAGGATGACGAAAATGATATCGAAATCTCTACAGTATGCTTTTGAACAGACCCCGCTGACGAGGTACATGCATTGTTTCAAATCCTAAACAGTGGAGTTATAAGGAAGATAATCCCTAGTCAACCCCTTTGAGTCAAAGAAGTTGGAGTTTTTTTTTCTTTTCACACAAATTAAAACCCTTAATCACAACCTTGGGCAGGGTAGTTTTCTCAGTTAATCCAGGTGTACAATGAATGGCATCAAAGAAGTCCTTCCAAAACAAAAGACGGTGATGGTTCCCTATAATCGTCAACACAGGCAGTCATTATCTCTCAAAAATCAAAGCCCATTAAGTTAAAACCTATGAAGGAGACTTAAGAAAAAAACCGGGGCATCCCGCTGAATGTAATCACAAAAAGAAACAGTTCAGGCAAAAGACAGGGATAATGAAATCAAAAAGAAAGAGGTCATACAAACTCTCAACAAAAATGAATGCCTATTCAAAATGAACTGTCAATATCCGAACCATCACTAGAATATCAGAGCAAAGACTCAAACGGGATCTAAATGCACAATTAACTGAGTTTATGACTAAAGAACATCACGAAGAGCGGGTGGGTACAAATAAAATTTGAGCTTTTATCCTTTGTTTCTTAAAACCGTGAACCAGGTCACGTTATAACCCTTAAAAGTCCTAGCTGAAGCATGGGTTAGTTCGAAAGCATACGGTTACAAAAGGTATTCTGACTCCCGTAGGACTTGCTGTAAATCCTGAGTTGGCATCACATATTGCAAAATTTGCCTATTTTACTGAAAAAATGCATTTCAAAATTTCAAGACAGACATAAGCTTTGCATTCTTAAAATAACATTGTCTGCATATGACTATTTGTTCAACAGTAGAGAAATTTGCACGATGAATATCTAGTGAACAAAAACTGTCTCAAAAAGGATCACCTCAAGTGGAAAAACACTTCCGACCAAGGGGCACGATATGATCATTGTCCATCATCTGGGGCAGTCAAGTCAAGATCCAAGGAATCTCTCAAAGATGCCAAATAGTCAAGGGAAGATCTCCATCTGAATCACTTGGGGGTATTGGACATAAATTCCAGCAACGAATCTTGCATGATCAAACGAACATCTTCTGGTAGTATGGCAATACAACACTACCTACGGTAACAACTCCCTACACCCTGAGAGCGTGGACATAGTCAGAAAATATTGTGCATGAATAAAGACCCGCTAGGTTGACTGGCCTAGGCAAAAATAAGGGCATCCCGACGAACCAAAAGGGTTCGGGCAAAAATTAGGGATAAAAACAAAAAAAAAAAATTTGTACACCCGACAAGTCGAAACCCTGAGAAGGCGGCTTGGGCAAAAAAGGGTATCCCGTTGGACTGAAAATCTGAAAAGACAGTCCAGGAAAAAAATAGGGATCAAAGCGTACGACTATGTCCCGTCATCTTGTCACTTGCCTACCAGAAGAAGACTGATCATTTCAAATCGAAAGTTACCAAGCACCACATAGGTTAGGATAACATTCGATCCATAAAGGCCTCCGCATGCACCTTCTCCCGCGGAAACAGGGGCAGAAAAGTCTCGATGCAAAGTCATTGTTATATCCTCTGCATGCGTCCCAGTAACATTCACTCCCCACAGAGTAGGAAAAAGACAGTGATGTTAGCTGTCCAAAACAGGACACCACTCTCCCCAGCTGAGGCTCGCAACTGCGAATGAGTCGGTAAAATTCTCCCCAAGCAGAGTTTATCTATCATTAGCACTGGAAAATTATCCCCAATAGAGGCTGGAGGATTTCCCCCAGTAGAGCCTAAAAGGTTGTCCCCAGTGAAGTCGCAAATGGAAAATCATCCCCAGCGGAGTTCATTTCTTTCACAAACAAAAATTCAATCCCCAACAGGTTTCATTATCACCAACAACGGTAATTCATCCCCGGTTGAGTTTATTTCTCTGAATCAACATATCCTCCGGCAGAGTATATCTTCCCCACTGAGTCATTTCCTCATCAGTTTATTCCCCAGCGGAGTTATACTCTCCTACAGGCTTATTCTCACAATCATCTTCACTCACTATCCCCAGCGGAAACGAAGAATTCAACTCTTTTCTCCAGCAGCTATCTGGGATTTATTTTCCCCAGCTAAAAACATCGCACTTTCATACATCATGACATGCATACGCATCATACAACACAGTCTCATTTATTTTGAGAACATCATTTCCTGGTGCATATCATGCATTACATACAGCTAACCTTTACCTTTCAGGAAAGATACAATCAAATTCTCACAAAATTCAAGCTATGAAGCCTTTTCCTCAGTTGAATAACGGATGACTGAATTTCCTAAATGTCAGCAGAGATGACTCCTCAGTTGAATAACGGGTGACTGAAGTTCCTAAATGTCAGCAGAGGTGATTCCTCAGTTGAACAACGAATGACTGAAGTTCCTAAATGTCAGCAGAGATGACTTCTTAGTTGAATAACGGATGACTGAAGTTCCTAAATGTCAGCAGAGATGATTCCTCAGTTGAACAACGGATGACTGAAGTTCCTAAATGTCAGCAGAGATGACTCCTCAGTTGAATAACGGATGACTGAAGTTCCTAAATTTCAGCATAGATGATTCCTCAGTTAAACAACGGATGACTGAAGTTCTTAAATATCAGCAGAGATGATTCCTCAGTTGAACAACGGATGACTGAAGTTTCTAAATGTCAGCAGAGATGAATCCTCAGTTGAATAACAGATGACTGAAGTTCCTAAATATCAACAGAGATGATTCCTCAGTTGAGTACGGATGACCGAAGATCCTAAATATCAACAGAGATGATTCCCCAGTTGAATACGGACGATTGAAGTTCCTAAAATTCAACTTTCCTCTTCAATAGAGATGTTTCCTCAGTTGAGTACGGACGACTGAAGTTCCTAAATATCAACAGAGATGATTCCTCAGTTGAGTACGGACGACCGAAGTTCCTAAATATCAACAGAGATGATTCCCCAGTTGAATACGGACGACTGAAGTTCCTAAAATTCAACTTTCCTCTTCAATAGAGATGTTTCTTTAATTGAGTACGGACGACCGAAGTTACTAAATATCAACAGAGATGATTCCTCAGTTGAGTACGGACGACTAAAGTTTTTAAATATCAACAGAGATGATTTCTCAGTTGAGTACGGACGACCGAAGTTCCTAAATATCAATAGAGATGATTCCTCAGTTGAGTACAGACGACCGAAGTTCCTAAATATCAACAGAGACGATTCACCAGCAAAATACGAACGACCGAAGTTCCTAAATATCAATAGAGATGTTTCCTCAGTTGAGTACGGACGACCGAAGTTCCTAAATATCAACAAAGATATTTTCCCGT